GACAGCTCACGCGCATCGTTAGGTCAGGCAAGATGAACAAAATTCGGGAGAAAGAAGGACAAGGGGGAGCGAAAGACTGAGGAAGGGGGGGGGGGGGCACTCGGGGAAAACCTTCCTCCCGTATAATAATAATAGCCTTCTGCCCTCCATCGGAGAGAGAGAGCGGACGGAAGGGGCAGGGAGAGAGTGACTACATTAACGCTCCCAACCCAACCCACTCACTCTCTCTCTTCCTCTCGCTCGCTCTCCCCAGCCCCCCGGACAACTGGACGACATCCCCATCACTAATGACGGGTCATGACATATCGTAAAGCACAGTGACCCACTTCTGAACCAGGCCAGGGCGTGGCGTGGCCTGCAGTCAGAACCGGCGCGCCCACTAAGCCCCCACGTACGACGTGACAAGGACCCCACCCCAACCTCAGCCCGTCGTCCCCTCTCCCGTCTGCTGCTGGCTCCGGCTTGGGTACTTTTGCAGCTTCCTCAATGAATCGGGTAAAGGGCCTCTGCCTCTCGAGCCCGAGGCGGGCGGGGCGGGAGTAGTTCGTATGCTCGTTCGCTCGCGCCGATCCGACTTTCCGAAGCCTGATCTATGGGCGGCAGACTTGTTGCTCGCCTAGACGAGGTGCCCCGCCCGCCCCGCCCCACCCCGGGCGCTGCAGCGGCCCGGCTTTAGCGTGTAGTGACTCAGAAATAAATCGCCCGAGATTTACGAGGCGTTTGCCCCCCTCTTCCACCAACTGTGCCGTGCCGCTGCTGCCGCTACTTCTGCTGTTGGCTGAGGTCGCGATTACGACAAAGATGTTGACCGTCCGCCGCACCGCACGACAGCGTTGTAGCAATAGAGCAGGAGAGGGGAAAACAAATCACAACACATTCGTTTCACGTTTTCACCCACTATTATAAATCAGTCGATCTCATCCCTCTCACTCTCGCCACGGATTCACTCTCCTGTTGTCACTTTTTGATCTTTATCCAAGAAAAGAGCCATAAATCTCCGTCCCGCAATGAATGGGTCCGACACGCCCTGGTCGCGCGAGTATAGGGTCAGGGAGGTAGTCAGGCAGGGCGAGGCGGGACGGAGACTGAACCAGAGACCTTCAAAAACAGCAAGGGGGTATATATGTGTTTTTTTCGCAGGAGAGAAACAAGCAGGGGCAAAATACGTGTTTCCTCAAGAAAATTGAGGGGAGTAGCCGAAGCCAACCTGCGTCTGACGCCAGGTGCGGCGATTGGTTTGAGCGGTGGGGGGAAGGGGTGGGGGTCGCACCGGTGAGGGGGCGACATTCGTCTCACATGTTCCCCAATCGCTCCTGTGCGCGCCGGCGTGGTATTGGTGCGGTTGCGAGTGCGACTGAAAATGACGCACCATCAGTCGGCAGCGAGGGGTACCTAACTTGGTCCAGTCTTCGTACACTTGGCAAAATAATCAAATTATAATCATTCACAATCAACTCCAATCTTCCCAGTCTTTTCCAGTCTGTCTACTCTCCAATCTTTACAATCACCTCCAGTCAGCTCCAATCACCTCCAGTCACACCCCCAATCACCTCCAATCACCTCCAGTCACCTCCAGTCAGCTCCAATCACCTCCAGTCCCCCTGTCAACTCCAGTCAACTGCCAACCTCTGCCTGTTGTATTATAGGTGGCCTACCTAACGCGGCGTTACCGACGTCTACTTTTCTCATGTTGCAGCTTCTCCAGTCACCTCCATAGTCTTTTCCAGTCACACCTCCAAACACCTCCAATCACCTCCAATCACCTCCAATCATCTCCAGTCACACCTCCAGTCACTTCCAGTCACTTCCAGTCACTTCCTGTCACTTCCAGTCACTTCCAGTCACTTCCAGTCACGTCCAGTCACTTCCAGTCACTTCCAATCACTTCCAATCACTCCAGTCACTTCCAGTCACTTCCAGTCACTTTCCAGTCACCTCCAGTCCCACCAGTCATATGTAATCGCACACAATCATTTCCTTATCTACAGTCTCTACAGTATTTTACAGTCGTCCCAATATATTACAATCAACTACAGTCATTCCTATTTCCAGTCTTCGTACGCAATTTTGGTGAGTTGGGTACCCCTCGGTCGGCAGCGATACAAAACACATCCTCCAGAATACGATGTCAAAATGACGTCGAACTACCTCTCCCACTGTGAGATATAACTATGTTCATGCATG